CTATAGCTCTCACTGTGGCGTACCATGCTCTGCTGAACCTGTGACATATTCATCAATTTTGTAATGATAACCGCATCTTCTATATGACAGTCTTCTTGGATAGTATCAATTTTCTTGATAAAGTCCACATGGTTATACTCACCATCTCCAGAAAAGCTAGGCCATGCTTCTATTTTAGACAAACCTTGCATGATAATTTTACTTGTTTCATGCGACATCTGAGGTTTAGTCACTGTTACTGTTTCATCTTTCACTGAGGGAACTTCAAAAAATTCACTTAGTCTTCCAGGATCAAGATCTGTAGTTTGTTTTCTAGTTTCAAAGAATTCAGCATTATTATTGTTTACAGTCATTTGTGGATTTGGTCTATACCCCTCTGGAGCATAAGACATTTTTGGTCCGGCAGTAGAACTGGTTTCACGGTTGTGCTCTACCTGTTCACTGGGTACTACAGTGGGGGATTTCAATCCATCAAATTTTGCCATCAATGTGTTGAATCTCTTCTCATTATTGTTTTCTATAACCAACAATTTAGCATTGATGTCTGCAATTGGCTGTTCATTCAAGTTAATAAGGTAGTCCATCTTCTCATTAACTTCTCTGAGTAATTCATGCTCCAACTTAAGCTCAGAAATTTTTGCGTGACAAGAACAAATATTATTAGTGTCCAACAGTTGGTCTTGTTGCAATACCTCTGGTGTATCAGGATGACAACTTTCTTTTTGCTTGCCTTTATCTTGTTTATTAGTTGGAAATAACTCAGGCGATTCTTTACTTAGCTCTGTAGATTCTAATTTTGAAGAAGTTCCAATTCCAGGATCAGCAGTCAGCTTATTGTTTAAATTCTCAAGAAATTTGTCTGTCTTATTTTTATTTTCTTCCAACTTGTCATAAACAAGTCCAAAAAGGTTGTCAAACGCTTTTTTGGACAAGTCTTCTCTATTAGTTAGAGCCATAACAATATTCTTAATTTCTTTAATATTATGAGACTCAGAAGAATTAGAAAACATATTATGAAGATTAGACAATTTATTATTCAAAGAATTAAAATCTGACTCTGAAGCTGACCATTTTTTTGCTGAAGCTTCTATTTGTGGAAGGGATCTAGTAATATTCTGTAACATAGCAATAGAATTTTCTGAGGAAAATAAAAGAGACTTGAACTTAGGATCAAATGAGTCAAATTGATGACTCAATTGATTACTTATACCCACTGTGACATCTGAGTTGATCTGTTTAGATAACAAGGCTACATTATTATCTACAATTTTTTCTATACCCAGGAAAAGTTTTTGGAGAATTGGTACTAACTCATCACTTATCAATTTTTTGGAGTCGGTGCGCCCTCTCGGGGTTGACGACGATTCTCGCCCCCTGCGTTCTGATTTCTCAAGGCCTCTAGCGCTTGAAACTGAGCTTGCGTCGTGCGGTTGAGTCTTATCATCTCTTGGTGAATCGAGAGTTGATGGGACCTTCGACGCTTCTCCCTGGCGTTTGCTTCCCAGGAGTCTCGAGGGGCTCGCTTTAGAGTCGGGGGAGGGACCCAGTTTGGTCCCTTTGCCTTTCTGTTGCGCGGACGGTTTCGGTTGCTCTTCGGAGCCTGATCGTTTAGGTTCTTTTGATTGGAACTGCCCGGTGGCTGCTGAGGGGCTTGAGGATGAAGGTTCTCCTGTATAGGCTGTTGCTGAGCCACAGGGTAATTCTGGTTGTTGTAATAGTAGCTTGTTTGATTCCAGCTGGGATTCTGCTGATTGTACATCTCCGGTGGGTATGGGTAATAATAACCGTTCGGATGGTAATACATCGGAGGCTGAGGTTGGTACTCTGTCCGATGCTCGTGAGGTTGGATCTGAGACTGGTCTGCCTCCGGCGGTCGCATGTGGACTTCTGGAGGAGGAGTCGGCGTCACTTCGGCGCCTCTCTCCTTCAGGAAGTTCCTGCCCTTCTGAGTGTTCAAGTACTCTTCGAATTCCGACTTCGGATTCCAGTTGAAGATCTTCTGGAATTCCTCCGGATCGATCGAGACCGACAGATCTTTCTGGAGTCCTGCGGCTGCTCTGAGGGCCACAACCTTCATCGATTCGTCCTTCTTCCTCTCTGCTTTGCGGTAGTACTCTCGGTTGAGTTTCACCGCTTGAAGCAGTGGATGATGAGCTGGAGGATACCTTAGAAGAATATCTTCCTCTAGGGGCGCCGGTAAGGTCTTTGGCTTCGACCAAAGCTGGGCGGTGGCTCCTAGTGCGAGACATTTTCTAGTTAGAATATGTCAGATAGATGTTTTATAGGTGGCTTAGAAAATTCTAGCTAACCTGTTATGATATCTAGATCACTACCGTCGCTTGGTAGTACTGAGTCTGAGGTGGTAGAACCGCAAGGGTGGTCGGATGATCTAGAGGAAATTGATCGGACTGTTCGACCTTGTGGGACGAAGTAGCTGTCCAAATTCTTCTGCTTAGATCGATCGACTGGCTGGTTAAAAGTCGTAGGACCGTTTAACAAGGTCTTGGCAGCTTCGGAAACGGAGTTACCTGAAGCAGGAAGTTTGACGATCCGAGTAGCTTGATCGCTAGTGTCCTTCGTGATCGGTTCGCTAGGACAAGCAGTACCTATATCGTTTTGAGGAGGTTGATCGACTTTCTTAAAGGTAAGATGGCTGATCGAGTCCTTATCGATGAGCTTAGAGACCTTTTCTTTGCTTTTGAAGGGATCGACGTTGGGCAACGGATCGTTAGATCTAGTGGTCTTCTTCTTATCGGCTCCTTCGTGCGTAGCGCCGTCAGGATGAGTATTCTTTTTTAGCTCGCTTTTTTCGTTTTTAGCCGAGTGTGCAGTCTTGTTAGTTTTAGATACCGTCTTAGCTAGTTTAGTAACAGGAGCGGTGTTAGCTTGAGGTCCGTCCTTCTTCGCTGACGAGTCCGAGTCTCTGTCCCACTCCGAGGGTACGACTTCTGGGCTCTTGAACTGCTTTTTCGGTCTCTTGGGGGTCGTCTTGAGTTGCTTGCTCGGTTCGGAGCGAGTACCTTCAGAGGCCGAGACGGCTTCCGAATAACTCTTGACAGAGGCGGGTTTAGTTTGATCGGTGTTAGACACTGTTTGTGCAACAATCAAGAAGCAAAAGATCACAGGTCGTCAAGAAAATAAGTAAATAGATGATCTTATCAGAGTCGGCAAGAATGTCTGAGATCCTCGCGCTACTCACTTGTAAGTATCAGGTACTAGAAGAAGATCGATATTCAAATGCTTCGACCTGGGAAATGATAGAGAGGATCGATCAGTATGAGGTAACAGTATCCCAGAATATGAGTTGGGGAGAGATAGACTCGACACACCTGTATAAACCAGATGGTTAAATCTGATCGAGGGTTACAATGGGAGAGCTGGGTAAGGATCTGAGAACAGAAGGAAATAACCCAGATCAGTTACGCGGTTCGGTAAATTAGGATTAGAATTCGAGAGGTTTTATCTGGAAATAAGTTCAACAGATAACTTTTATAATTTTTTCTGTAAGGGAAGAGAAAATTAAAAATCTTAATAAGGGTGGTACACCGGAAAAAATTTCCCGGCCAGACCCCCAATTGTCAGCTCCGGTCTCTTATGTGACCTAGAGTTGATAGGGTTTTTGGGTCACACTATAGCCAAGAGGGCCAGTGGAAATAAGTCCAACTCAACACTGGTACAGTGGAGGGACTAGCTCCTTATAATAATAAGGGACAGCTGTGGAATGAGCCTCACAGTGCCTGAGCTTAAGAGAATAAGAAGAATAGAGTTGTACTAGTCTTATAAGTTAATAAGGTAACTTATAAAGACTAGTAATGAGATAAAGGAAAAAGGTACAACAAGTTTATGTAGATAATATATTACTAAAAAACCCCACTCACTAAGTATATGTTTTTTAGTAAGGTTGTTGGGTTGGTATGGTAATATTGTCTGGGGGATGAATCTCAGGGGGAGAGCCATCCTCTTAAATATTACAGAGCAGGGTTCAAACTGCTGCTGGGACCGGTGCAGTCCCCTTATTGGTACACTTTTCCTTGGGGGAAAGTGTCAGGATATTCAGAGCATGCTAAATGTACATGTGCTGAATATCCTTTATTTCAGAAAATACCATAAGAGAGATAAACATAATAATCATACACCACAAGAGAGGTAAATAGGATAATCATCTCTTGGATACACCCAGGAGATAATTATCCTTTTCAACTTGATTATAATTTTCATACAAGAGGTAAATTAATAAAGAGGTGAATCTTTATTAATTTACAGAATAATTATTAACATAAAAAATACATGTAAAAAGGGATAACATTACTTAATAATTATTAACTTAAAGATTACACATAATAATAATTGTTATGTAACCCAAGGGGTTACATTCTATTGTAGACACCTGGGCTAGTGTCTCAGTGTCTGACATCAAAGGCCTGTGAAACAGGTATGTTAAATTCATGTGGCAGGGGGTTTGTGGGAATTCATAATGAATGTCTGTGACTTTTTTCTTCAGAGGATATACTCAAGACTGCGGGGAATTTGTCTCTCATCACGTCCGACATGGTTGATATGGAACAAATCAAAACTTTCCAACTGACGGAAAGGTTAACCGGCAACCACACGCTCCTACCGCACTTGGCCAGCTTTTTTGCCCCTGGGAGATCGGCATATATTCGACTGCGAGCGGCATTACAACAGACTTGGGCTATGCAAAAG